CAAAACTGGCCCCGCCTGGGGGGGGGGGGTATTGATTTTCCTTATATGTGTATAGCAAAAACTTAAAAATCTTCTTTGAAAAACCCAAATAGCTAGAGTTTAGATATTAAGCATGAAACATAAGTAAATATCTACAAAGTTTGTTCATATAAAAGCCCGGGGGTCAAAACTGGCCCTGCCCCAGGGATGTCATTGTTTTAACTATATGTGTATAGTAAAAACTTTAAAAATCTTCTTCTAAAAAACCCAATGAGCTAGAACTTAGATGTTTAGCATGAAACATTTTCTTATGGGTGTCTACCAAGTCTGTTCAAATAAACAAATAAAAGCCCTTGGGTAAAAATTGGCCCGGGGGTGGGGGCCATATACAGGTGAGCGACCTCAGGGCCATCATGGCCCTCTTATTTTATTTATCCTTTTGTAGTACACAGTGGGTTATTATGGTATGTTATTGTTGTACTTGTATCCGAAAGCTGTAAATAGAATGATGAGTTGATGACCTAAACAATCTGAAAATCTATTTATAGAGGGATGTAATTCTAATCGGTAATTCCCGGTCTCTCCCAGTCTATTTTGACAGGGATTTTCTAGTGACCGGCGAATAGTATCACACGTTTATTGTCCGGTCTCTCCCGGGTTTGGAGTAGATGTTTGATATCGTTACAGAACAGAACAAATATTTTACAGATAAATATTTTTTTTTTATCAAAATGAATGTTTGTCACTTAGTTTGGTTACAATAATTAATAAACACAGATCAACTCTCAAACTTATTGATTATTATTATACATAAACATACAATTCGAAAAAAACAACAACAACAACTAAAGCATGTTTTATTTTATCTACTTGAGATAAAAACTATAAATATGTACAATAATTTAGAACAAATGTACATTTTTATGGTAATAATATGACACTATCAACTTTGAATCATTTCATTTAATTTGTTATTCGTGTTTAGTAAAGATGCCGAGGAATTATCTAAAGTTACAACTTAGATTTTAGTAATTATTCAATTGATTGATAATTTTAAAAATGATAAAGAAAAATACAAATTTACATGTACATAGTTTAAGAATAAACAATATTATAATTATATTGAAAGATTAACCATAATTTACTGACTTTTTCCAGTTAAGTTTTGACTTATAATTGTTGACAATTGAATTCTTATAATTTATTGAACAATTTAAATTAATAAAAAAGTAGTAAACATAAAAACTCAGTATGTAAATTGAACATAAAACACAAAAAGAAAAGAAAACAATATTCATAAAATCAGTTTTTTTTATTAAAATAGATATTACAATTTTTGTATAATAATTATGCTCAACATGATATGGTAATATAACCAGTGTCATATTTTTACTAAATGTGAACAGTTACCTTAAGAGGGGATCTTCGCTAATAGCGATAACATAATAGGGGACAATTACACAAGTGTGGTGTTGATCATTAGTTACACATATGGATTATAATTGATTGTATGTATACATGTATATCCGTTGCTATTATTAATCACGATCATAAAGAAATAACAAGTAATATTCTAATCTCTAGCGTGCAAATCAAAGTTCATAATGAACAATGTCTTTCGTCCGTTCATTCATAAGTGATATACAATTCTGGTAAAAACCAATTATCCATTGAAAAGATTATAAGAATATCTTGTCATCATACGTCTACTAGTTCATCTTCACCTGCTGTATTTCTTGGACGCCCTTTGATGACTTGCATCAATGCTTTTCTTGTTATTCGCTGTAACGTACAAGCTATTTGCGTTATCAAATTAGATATGGCATAGTATTCCGATTGATTGTGATATAAGTTTGAATTGACAGTCCAATAATAAAGTTCAATATTTAAAAAAATAAAGATCCCGGTATTGAAGTAAGACGTGGAATGGTCTAAGTATATTCCGACGGTTTTAATGTTTGTACTATCCTTAGTTTTCTTTAGGCTGCAAGGCTGCTGGGATGTTTGGCTGCTAACTTCACAAATTTCGAAGAGTCAGAATAAAAAAAAGATGTTAAAATAAAGTTCAACATCTTAAAAAATAAAGATCACGATATTGAAAAAAAGACGTGGAATGATCTCTTTCCGAACATTTTCATGTTTGTACTATTCTTAGTTATCTAAAGGCTGCTAGGCTGTCAGGCTATTAGGCCGCCAACTACAGGCTGCTAGGCTGCCAGACTGTTAGGCTACCAACTTCAGGCTGCTAGACTGCCAGGCTGCTAGGCTGCAAACTTCACGAACATAGTTTGCTATTCATTGTTCTGAATTTTATTTTTGATAATCAATTTAAACACCCTAAATAACAGTCGGAATAATCGGCTATTATGACCGTCGAATGCTGTCGCCCTTTTACAAAATCTGCTTGGAGAGGTCATCAGACCTCTCCACAGTATTCAATCTGATTGCTGGCGGCATCCATTTTTGCTTGTCTGATTGTAGTGAATGAATCTCATTTAAAGCGTAAAGTCATTAGGAACAGTCTACAAAAATTGTTTTGCGCATGCTCCGTTTCAAAATACGACTTCACTTAAACATAAAATTAACATCGAAGTGAACAAATCGGTACATAGAAAAATCAGAAAATATCATTTACGTTACTTAGCCCACGTGAATGTCTCATACCGTTTTAATATTTAAACTGTATAAGTCGATTGCCGCATTGTTTTCTGAATACTAGTAGTGCTTTACTATTTCATGTTCCGATAAATAGTAACAGTGAACATTATAGCTACAGTATCACCATGCACTATTATAAAATATATGACCGAGTGAACCGTGTGCCAAAATTTTGCTGCTCCTTAAACTTTTGAACGTTTTCGAGTTATTTCGGCCCAAAGACGCATCGGCCTCAAATTACCAAAGACGTTTCGGCCCCGGACGTTTCGGCCCTTTACCAAATCGGCCCAATATTTGGTTAAGAATAAGTCTTACCTTTACGTGTTTTATGCCAGAATTTTAATGGCATTTCATAAAATGAATGAAATAAGGGAATGAGAGAATTAATTGAATAATTAAATTTATGAGTTTGTAATTGAATGAGGCTTTTAAAATAGTAGTGATCAAAAGAAATAGAACAGAACATAAACTTTATTAGACAAAATATAGTACACAAACACTGAACAAGATTTTCACCTGCTTATTATCAACAAGCTTTTTTTTAACTTGAACATTTAAAAAAGCAAGACAAAGAACAACACATAAAACAAACATTTATTATTAACAACTATTAAATTGTAATAAAACAAACAATACATTGTAAGCAGGCATTTTTTTTAAACAAATAACACTTTTTTACAATAAAATTGACAGATTTTCAATCAGAACGTTATAATAATAATCGGGGTGGGGGCCTCCGTGGCCGAGTGGTTAAAGTCGTTGACTTGAGATCACAAGTCCCTCACCACTGTAGGTTTGATCCTCACTCGGGTCGAAATCTTTCATGCAAGGAAGCCATCCAGCTGGCTTACTGAAGGTCGGTGGTTCTACCAAGGTGCCCGCTCGTGCCTGAAATAATGCTCGCAGGGGCACCTGGGGTCTTCCTCCACCAATAAAGCTGGAAAAAAATCGACGAAAAATCTCGGCGGGACGCTCTAGGACGACCCGACTTGAGTGTACGGTCGCCAATATGGGCCGGCGGCGACCTTAAATAAACGCATCAAAAAAAAAAAAAAAAAAAAAAAAAAAAAAATAAATAAAAAATAAATAATCTAAAAAATGATCAAATCATAAGTTTAAAAACTTTTAAAGTTTTCTTTGATAATATTAACCTCTTATTAGCAATAATTAAATAATTAATTTGTTACACCTTGAAAAAAAAACCTAAATATAAAATAAATATTGTTTGTGTGCAATCAATCAATCAATCAATATACTTCATTTTTCTAACGATTTTAAGTTTAAAATGTTTTTTTAAATGTAATTAAAAAAGGGCCGAAATGTCTCGCGGAAAAGGGCCGAAACGCCTAAGGGCCGATTGTTGAATAGGGGCCGATTTGGTTTGGGACCGAAACGTCCTGTTTGCATTTGAACTGGTATGACTAAATAACCCAACGAAGATTTTTTGGCGCAAATGGCACACATTTTACTCAAGTTTGATTTTCATCAAATATTGTGGTTGGAGGCATGCAGCTATATATACTGTTTATTTCAATCAAATGATATAAACATTTTCTATGTAAATCCTGGACTTCAAATTATTTGATTAATTAAACTACTTTATGCCCGTTTTTGAAAATGTAGTAGAAATGTTTCCATATACTTACCGAAACATGAACCGAAAATTTGCTTATTGAATTTCACAAGAAACTTTTGATTTTGAAACTACTTTTAACATATATATTAATATAATTATAATTTATTTCAAATTTAGCAATAGAAAGAGCATCGAAACATATTAATCGAAAGTATTAATCAGATTGCCGAGTGTTTTGATGTTTTTTTCTCGTTTGTATCATAGTCAAACATAAAACACGTTCCCTTTTGTCACAATATGAAACCCCGGAAAAAAGGAACCAATGAACGAGCGTCTGAATATGATATTTTTGTCGCTTTCCCTTTCTCCGCCGTCACAATAAGTAAACCCTAGCAAAAATTAGCCGATCAATGGGCTTGTTCTGGAGTGCGGGTGCGCCAAGAAAAAAGTCCATTTCTCCGGCATATAATCTTTCAAAATATTTTAAGAAATGAAGTGTAAAACAATCTTTCATTATGATACTATATTCAATATATTTAATAAATTCTACTTTGTTAAATAATTGTAATTTATAAAAAAATATTCCCAAATATTTTCGAACCACAGCAGCAAAAAGACATCTCTCATGCTTCATTTTGAAGAAGCAAACTTTTTTCATTCCAGAAGGGGCGTCGCGCTTTGGCGCGGACGCCAATAATGGCTTCCACTGGTGCCAAGGGAGGTAAATATTGTAAAAAACGGAAACTATCTGTAGGTATAATTTAAATTGCTGTATCATCCATTTCAGACAATGGCATATTACATTGATGTTGAGCATGTTGCCGCTTTTGAAGTTTCTTTAGCATCAGAGGGATCTGAAGATTTTGATATTGTGAGTATTGCTAAAAACAACAACAAGATCATACGACAAAATCAGTGACACAGTCACACATTAATAGATTAACCTTTCTTTTATGCGTTTCAGTGGATTACTGATTTATCTGTAAAAATTATATAGAGGATATTTGGTAAGTTTAATGTAAGATCGGAATATATTTCACCGAGTGGGTACTAAAAGGTATATTTCACGAGTGGCGCAGCCACGAGTAAAATATGAACTTTTGGTGTTCACAAGGTGAAATAGCTTGTCCGCCCAATAACTTAAGATTCCTTGACTCACAGTTTTCATATTTAGTATAAAGGTTAGTCATTATGAGTAGATAACCCCTATTGATTTTGAAGTCACCAGATTAAACGTCAAGGTCACAGGGGCATTGACTTTAAAAAGCTTGTCTGCCTAATAACTTAAGAATCATTTGACCCACAGTCTTCATATCTGGCATGGAGGTTTGCCATGATAAATAGGTGACCCCTTATGGTTTTGAGGTCACAGGGTTAAAGGTAAAGGTCACAGGGGACTTGACTAAAAAAAAAGTTTGTCGCCAAATTACTTAAGATTCCTTTGACCTCAATGGAGGTTGATCATGACCATATGGTGACCCCTATTGATTTAAAAGTCACTTGATCAAAAGTAAAAGTCACAGGGCCCTTGACTAAACAAGTTTGTCCGCTCAATTGCTTTAGAATTCTTTGGTCAACAGTCTTGAAGACATATTTGGTATTGAGGTTGTTTATGACTTGTAGATGACCCCTTTTGATTTTTAAGTGACTGTGTTATAGGTCAAGGTCACAGGGATTTGACATTAATAAGCTTGTCTGCTCAAATGCTTAAGAATGCCTGTCCGCAGTGTATTGATTTTCACCTTTGAAGCATGTATTATACATAACTTAGAAATGCACTGGCGTAGTAACCTCAGATTTGGCAGGGAGTTTGTTCTTGAGCTTTAAATGGCCACTGTTTATTCTGTCAAAGTGGTATGAGAGGGTATTCACGCCATGACAGTGGAAGTTCTAGTTTGCATTTTATTACACCCACATCGTGTATTAAATATGAGGTTAAATATGACAGTAAATGGCCGAAAAAAACAGGATATTTTTCTAATTTGTAGGAATACATTTGAAATTTAAGTAATATAGTAGTTTGTTATATAGTCGCAACTTTTAGATATTTCAAGTGGTGAAATAAATAAAACACTTAAAACACTTACCAATTAAGCATCAAACACATTTTTATATGCCCGAAAGAATTTCGGGTATATTATGTTATACCCCCTGGCGTGACGTGGCGTCCTTCCGTCCGTCTGTCTGTCTGTTCGGGCGAACAACAAATGGTCTATGAGGTTCATTCCGTCCATTATTTTAGTTAAAAAAAAGAAAGAAATCCTGTAAACCGACTGGTTTATGTGGTAATTTTACTGGTTTATGGGGAAAAAATGCCACATAAAGATCCGAGAAAAGCACATAAACCCCAAATGTTGACACGTCCGTCCGCCCGTTGGCAATTTGGTTTCCGGAGCATAACTTAAGTTCCATTCGGTCCACAATATTCAAACTTCATAGGATGATTGTCCATATTGGGTAGAAGACCCCTATTGATTTTGGGGTCACAAGGTTAAAGATCAATGTCACTATTACCTTAAAACTGAAAACAGGTACCGGAGCATTACTTTAGTTCCATTTGGCCCACAATATTTAAACTTCATAGGATGATTGCCCATATTTGGTAGAAGATCTCTATTGATTTTGGGGTCAAAAGATCAAAGGTCAAGGTCACTATTACCTTAAAACTAAAACAGTTTCAGAGCATAAATTAAGTGCAATTTGGCCTTCAATATTCAATCTTCAAAGGATAATTATCCATATTGGGAAGAAAATCCCTATTGATTTTTGGGTCAAAAGGTCAAAGGTCAAGGTCACTATAACCTTAAAATTAATAACAATTTCCGGAGCATAACTTAAGTTCAATTTGACCAACAATATTCAAACTTCATAGGATGATTGTTCATATTGGGTAGAAGACCCCTATTGATGTTTGGGTCAACAGGTCAAAGGTCAAGGTTACTATTACCTTTAAACTGAAAACAGTTTTCGTAGCATAACTTAATTCCCATTTGGCCCATTGTGTTCAAACTTCATGGGATGATTATCAATATTGGGTAGAATACCCCTATTGATTTTTTAGGTTACGAAGTCCAGGTCATTATTACCTTAAAACTGAAAACGGGTTTTGCTTAAAAACTTAAATATTAATCAACCTACAGCTGTAAAATTTTATAGGATGAACAGCCATGTCCAATACATGACCCCTATTGATTTTAAGTTCATAAGATCAAAGGTCAGGGTCACAATGACCTTAACACAGAAATTTGTGCTTTCCGGAGCATAACACAGCTTCCATTTGGCTTACAGTGGATGATTGCCTGTATTGAATGAAAGATCCATATCTAAATTGGGGTCACAAGGTCAAAGGTCAATATCAAATGACCTTAATATTGTTAAAAGTTTTACAACTATCAAACTTCATAGGATGATCACATATATTGAGTACATAAATTATATGCCCTAAATATCTGCTTATATTATGTAATATCTAAGGCTTCATTCTGTCCATCCATCGAAATAAAATTATTTAATTACCATGTCTTACAAATATTTTTTTTTTTTTAAAATCACTTTCGGGCATATAATGCTCCGCCTAGCCGTGCTCTTGTTATTACTGTTACATCAGCATTTAATGAAATGACACTTACAAATATTGATGTATATATTAGTACCGACCGTCATCTCGAACCCCGCCTCAAGTATTTCAGTGTCGCAGATCGAAAAAAATCTTCAGTACTCAGTATTTAACCCTTTACCTCATATATACGCGAAACACCGCACTTTTGACCCCACACCCCTTTTTTAGGCCTCAAATAGTAAAAAAATGTCCTATTTGGGCCCCAAACACATGTTTTCGTTTGAGAAATGATCCTTAAAAAAATGAGCACTTTTTCGGCGCCGCCCCCCATCCAAAAGATACATCAGGGGTTGCCAGAAGGGGGGTGTGCCCCCTTCTGTTAGGTGGGTTTGAAGGGGGGCGGAGTCCCCCTCATCGCCAAGAAAATTTTTGACTTGTGAGAGGCTAAAAATGACCTCAGGTCGATCATAATGTAACGTGTAACCAACGCTGAAAAGCCTTTGACTTTATCTCAATCTCTTGAGAAGTTGCAGCACTTTGAAATAAATTTTGATGGAAAAAATCGAGGCAAAATAGTGATTTTTGGCAATTTTGAGATGTCCCCTCGTTGCCATGGTAACAGGAAATTTAAGACTGAGCATGTCGTTACAAAGGCAATGGTCCAGTCAACATTTGTGCCAAGTTTGATTGGTATTAAAGCATTTTTCATAGTTTCATAGCAGTTTGAAATTGTAACAGGAGGCTTTTCAGTGAAAACGGCCATTTTTCACAATATGCTCATGGGGGAAAGGGTTAAACAGAACTCAGTTGACACCTTCAAAACTATGAAACCCAATGTACGTTTGACCCCAAAAGTGCGGTGTGAAGTTTACCGCACTTTGGGGTCGGATCCCATAGTGCGTTTGACCCTAAAGTGCGGTGTAACAGACCATAAAGGAGTACATATAGTGTTTTCATTAATATTTTGGATTTAACTGCTTGCTTTGTTGGCTTTTCAATGTTATTAAAATTAGATTGAGTCTTCCCGCGAACATATACACGTTGAACGCTTCATACTGTTACGTTAGGGTTTTTTTTTTCTTTAAGATATTTTCTTTACAGGTTACGGAAATAAGAATTTTCGTAATGATTAATTTGTATAATTGTGGCAAACAAAAGTCGTCCACAACAAACCACCACAGTCCTATGCAATATTATACAAATTTCATTTCTTTATTGATTTGTCAGTTTTAAAAACAAAGTCTTAGCATCATTCAAACTTTTAAAAGCAAAAATAACAAAAAAATGTTTTTGCTACGAAGACGATGCAAGCTTTATTATTTATTATAAGAAGGTGACCATTGTTTGTTATTTTACATTATACATATTCTATTCCTTTCATTTTATTACAAGAGATGTACAATGTAAATTAATAGATAAAAGTATATAGAGGATATTCAAGTTTTTTTTATAAATACATGATTTATTTTCATCGAGTGGTATGAAAATAAATATTTCATTCGTGGCGGTAGCCACGAGTGAAATATGGTAATTTTCATGCCACAAGATGAAAATAAATCATGTATTTATAGAAAAAACTTGAATTTTCTGTTTATTATATATATTTTTCTCTTTTTTGCGATACAATTGGAAAGACGTTCCCTTAAATTTTGTGTACTGGCAAAATTTAAAAGAAAGTAGTCCGGCAAGACACCATTGAAAATACGGAAAATATGTTTCACTGCAGTGAAAAATAAATTTTTACAGTGAAAATACTGAAAATGAAAATACGCATTTTATTTTATCAATATTTCTCAATATTTCATTTATAAGTATATAATAAAAAAATATATTTTTGAAAGAAAAAGGATGGGATCATAAATTCATATAACATTAGTAATTCGGTTCGTCCCTGAAACAATCAAGAAAAAATGATGCTATAAATTACATAGAAATGGCATTGAATAATCCAACAAAGAATTTACAATTGCATTTGATTTTGAAGCACAAAAATCAAAAGCATTGAACAGATTTTAACAAAAACGTTCCGTATGCTTAATGTATCTTTGAACTTCTAAAAATATTAATGAATTGCCTTCTTCGGAATAAGCAACATTACCAAAAAGAAGAGTACCCGTATTAAAAGGATGAAAAATGCGAGAAGCATTAAATGTTGTATTCATTGTGTTTAGTTGTTATGATATATTCAAAATATCTGTTATATAATAGCGATTGGTGTTTTTCTAGTACGGAACGTTCGTATCCAAACAACATGAATATTTGGTACAACCACCGAGGGATAACCGAAGTACTTACACAGTATCGCTGATGGAAGAAAAGCTGACAAAATCGTTTGATTATATTAAATTGTCAGACACAGGTAAGGTTTTAGTTGTATAACTCAGTCTTTAGTAGATTTATTCACATGCAAGTAAATGACTCGGATAAAGTTCTAATATTGATCAAGTTTCATTTTTTATTCAACGCTTGCTGTGTAAATATGTTTTTACTTATCTGGCATTTTTGCGATTGTAAATTTAGGAGTAGTTCGTTTGCTGTGTCCCATCATTTAATATTTCTTTACCTTTAATGCAATGAACTTTTTTTCTGATTAAAGACTTAAAACAAGATATAAATTAACGGACACAGATTTTTTCAAGTGATAAAAGTTTATGTTGTTAAACTAAATACATATGCTGATTTCCTTTGTTTTCTAAAATAAAATCGTTAGGAATATTTTATATCAATAGTGAAGAAGATCTTTGAATACCCAATTTGACCTGATATTGCTATTCTGTAAATACGCAAATGTAATGATATATAGTTATATAATTGGTATATGGTCACATAGTAGTATATTTATGGTTATAGCTTGTTTACGGATAGTGATCCTGTTCAGACACCTTATAGTTTAATCAATCCATTTTTGTTCAGACGCTAAAATAACTGAAGGAAAGATGCAGAATCGCTCAGAGCAGACAATAAATACCAGAGAAAAGCGACAGACGACCGACTACGAGATCGAAATTTTCTTCGTGATTGACTTTGCACTTTACAAATGGTATTTTTAGTTATTTATTTTTATACGCCCGCGTGAAAAACGGGTCGTATTATAGTCTCCCCCCCACCCGAAGGGCGGCTGGGGGACATCCGATTTTTGTTCGGAGCATATCTCCTACACCCATAAAGGAATCAAAATGAAACTTTATACAAAATGTTCACCACTATAAAAAGCCGTGTTCCGTGCATAAACCAGATCTCTTGGTCAAAGGTCAAGGTCATACTTAGAGGTCGTAGAAAAACGCTTGTCCGGAGCAAAACGTCTACATGCATAGAGGGATGTCAACTTAACTTGGAAAAAATGTTCACTATTGTAAAACGGAGTGTCGCCTTGCAAATTTAGGTTCCTGCGGCCAAAGTCAAGGTCACACACAGGCGTCAAAACTCAGATAAAATATGAAAAAGTGTAATGGGACCATTTAGTCATTATTTATTGAGGGATTGAAACACAAATGGTCATTTTTGTGACAACTGATGCTAAACATGTAATTTAGGTTAGTATTTGAAAGACCAAGGTCACTTAAGATGATTGTCAATGTCACTAAAGATAATAAAATATAGAGATTTTGTCCAGAGCATATCTTCTACACATACCGCGGGATTTTAATGAAACTTCATACAAATGTTAACTACTATAAATACCGTTTCTCGTGCATAAAACAGGTTTCTATGTCAACAATCAAGGGCAAACTTATAGGTAATTGAAAAACGCTTTTTTCCAGAGCAAAACTTCTACATGCATAAAGGGATTTCAATATTACTTTTCACAAATGTTCACTATTGCTAGGCGGAGTGTCGCATGCAAAATTTAGGTTCCTGCGGCCAAGGTCAATGTCACATATAGGGGTCAAGTTTCAGATAAAAATATGAAAATGTGTAATTGGACCATTTAGTCATAATTTTTATTGAGGGATTTGAAACACTAACAGTCATTTTCATGACTACTGGTGTGAATTTAGGTTAATATATGCAAGGTCAAGGTCACTTAAGATGATTGTCAAGGTCACTAAAGATGATAAAATAATTATAGAAATTTTGTTCAGAGCATATCTCCTACACGTACGGAGGGATTCTAATGAAACATCTTACAAATGTTCACATCTATAAGAAGCCGTTTCGTGTGTATAAACCAGGCCCGGCTTTCACTAACGTTCTCAAAGTTAAAATCTCAGCTCAAATCTGAGATTTTTCTCAAATCAGAAATTCAGATTGAGATTTATCTCAGTTTGGCTGGAACTAAAAAATATTGAGAACAATCTAAACTATATATCTGAGATTTTTCTCAGATGTATTGAGACCAAGCTACGGCTTTCACTTACGTTCTCAAAGTCAAAATCTCAGCTCAAATCTGAGATTTTTCTCAACTCAGAAATTGAGGTTGAGATTTTTCTCAGTTTGGCAATCACTAAAAATATTAAGAAAACTCTCAACTTAAGATTTGAGATTTTTCTCAGATATATTGAGACAAGGTTTGGCTGTCTCAGATTATGTCTCAGTGAAGCTAAATTATCATTATCATGGGTATTTATACTTTCTGCATGGTTATTTTTATAAAAAAAAACCCCATAATTTGTCCTTTTTTGGCAAATAAAGTTCCTATTAATTTCATATATTACTGTTTGCAAAAATTATGAAGATCTACATTCATTCTTGATAAATTATGTTCTTTAGCATTCAAATATTCAAACATTTGCTTCTTGGTGTTTGTTGTTGTTGTTTTTTTAAAAAAATAAAACAAGAAAGATATATCTGTAATCATTTACGTGATAAACATACAAACAAATCCCTGTTGCGTCATTTTACATTAAACAGCAACTGTATACTTTGTAACAAAAAAAACTCCATAGACAAGTATTAGAAGCCCATCAACAATGCACACTAAGATTGAAGTTTTAAGATAGCCGCTTATGTCTTGAGAAAAAAGCAGTCTCAGTTAAGAAAATTCTCAAATGTTGAGAAAAAGTTTAGTGAAAGCCAACTTGACATTTTTCTCAGTTGAGTAAGAGTCTCAGTCAGATTGGAGACAATCTTAAGTTGAGATTTGTATAAGTTTGAGAACGTTCGTGAAAGCCTGGCCAGGTTTGACTCAAACTCCTCACAGCGGTTACGTCACGCTTTGCTACTTTAACCACCGCAGCCACTGAAACCCAAGTGACGATAGTTGTATCATGTGACAAAAACATAGCCAGTTTCAGAACGCCAAGGATCCCATATCCAACTGGCAGATTTACAATTACATCCTTACAAGATAAAATATGTTCAAAACACTCAATTTGTCTACACTTTTAAACATATGCCGGATCAAAATCTTTGCGAAATCGTTCAATAACTGTTCAACTTCAGCCATTGTTTACTATACATACGGTGTCACAGTGAAAATATTTTTCGTTGTTTACAGAATAATTTTTATACGTAGGATATTTTTTTTTACATTCTTGTACATTAAGCATAACAATTTAATGAAAGAAAACTTAAATGAGATAAAGTATTCTTTTTTAAAATTAAAAGTGAAAAAAAAAAATATTCGGCTCTCTGACGACCGAATTTACTTGTGGTGGCAGTGGTTTCTGTACTGATCAGTGGAAGTATCCGCTGCGGAGAGTTTGTCTGTCTCAGATATCGATTATGTCTTAGTATTAAAGGCTAAATAACTATTATCATAGGTACTTTTACTTTATGCATGTTTTTTTTTTTATAAATAAACATAATTTGACCTTTTTGGCAATAAAGTGTCTATTAATTTCATTTAAGTTACTGTAATAATTATATTGACTGATTTTTTGTGGGTGACATCATGCGCTATATTAATGACGTCATAAAATTATGACGTCACAATATTCATACTTATATAATTTATTTTTTAATTTTGTTTCGCTTTTTTTTATCTTCATTCATTCTTGATAAATTATTTTCATTTCATTAAATATTCACACATTTGCAATTGCTTCTCAGTGTTTTTGTTGTTGTTTGTTTTTGTTTTACAAGAAATATATAGATTTACTTATTGTTATAAATATACAAAACATTTCCTTGTTGCGTCATCTTTCATCAAAACAGCAACTATATACTTCATAACAAAAAGGAACATTCTATATTTAAGTCATAGAAGCCTATAAACAATGCTCACTGAGAGTTTAATGAGAAAAAAAAGTCTCAGTTGAGAAAATTCTCAAATGTTGAAAAAAAGTTTATTGAACGCCAACTTGATATTTTTCTCAAGTCAGTAATAATCTCAGTACAAATTGAGACAATCTTATGTTGTTTTTATCAACTTAAGATTGTCCCAAATCTGACTTAGATTCTAACTCACCTGAGAAAAATCTCAAGTTGGCTTTCACTAAACTTTTTCTCAACATTTAAGAATTTTCTCAACTAAGACTGCTTTTCTTCAAGACATAAACGGCTATCTTAAAACTTCAATCTTAGTGTGCATTGTCGATGGGCCTCTTAGACTACTGTATGGAGTTTTCTTTTTGTTACAAAGTAAATAGTTGCCTTTTTGATGTAAAATGACGTAACAGGGAATTTGTTTGTATATTTATTTCATTAATGATTACTATGGTGACATAAAAGTGACATTTGCAAATTTATTTTTTGTTTATTTTTTGATACTTATTTTTTATTCTTTTTTTGTTTTTCGTTCATGTTTTTTAGCTCACCAGAGCCGAAGGCTCAGGGTGAGCTATTAGTATCAAAGGGGGATACTCCGGCGTACGTCGTCCATCGCCCGTCGTCATGCGTCAACAATCGTCTTCTTCCCTGAAACTACTGGGCAGATTTACCTAAAATTTGGTCTGTAGCATCCTTGTGACAGTCACACTAAAATTTGCTTATGTCATTTAAATTGGCCCCTTTTAGGGGTCAGCAGAGCTAAAAATAGAAAAAAACATATTCTACTACAGAACTAATTGATGGATAATCACCAAACTTTGTCTGTAGCATTCTTGGGTAGTCTTTTATCAAATTTGCTCATATTAATCTGATTGGCCGCTTTTAGGGGTCTCTAGGGCTAAAAATAGAAAAAAAACCTTAAGACATCTTCTTCCACAGAAATAATTGATGGATGATCACCAAACTTTGTCTGTAGCCTTCTTTAATAGTCTTTTATCAAGTTTGCTCATATTAATTTCATTGGCCCCTTTTAAGGGCCGCTATAGCAAACTTTGTCTGTAGCATTCTTGGGTAGTCTTTTATAAAGTTTGCTCATATTAACTTCATTGGCCCCTTTTAGGGGCCGCTATAGCTAAACATAGAAAGACCTTTAGACATCTTCTTCTACAGAACTAATTGATGGATGATAACCAAACTTTGTCTGTATCCTTCTTGGGTAGTCTTTTATCAAGTTTGCTCATATTAATTTCATTAACCTCTTTTAGGGGCTGCTATAGCTCAAAATAGAGAAACCTTTAGACATCTTTTTCTACAGAACTAATTGATGGATGATCACCAAACTTTGTCTGTATCCTTCTTGGGTATTCTTTTATCAAGTTTGCTCATATTAATTTCATTGGCCCCTTTTAGGGGCTGCTATAGCTAAAAATAGAAAAACCTTTAGACATCTTCTTCTACAGAACTAATTGATGGATGATCACCAAACTTTGTCTGTAGCATTCTTGGGTAGTCTTTTATCAAGTTTGCTCATATTAATTTCATTGGCCCCTTTTAGGGGCTGCTTTAGCTCAAAATAGAAAAACTTTTAGACATCTTCTTCTACAGAACTAATTGATGGATGATCACCAAACTTTGTCTGTATCCTTCTTGGATAGTCTTTTATCAAGTTTGCTCATATTAATTTCATTGGCCACTTATATGGGTCTCTAGAGCTAAAAATAGAAAAACCTTAAGACATCTTCTTCTACAGAACTAATTGATAGATGATCACCAAACTTGATCTGTAGCATTCTCGGGTAGTCTTTTATCAAATTTGCTCATATTAATGTCATTGGCCCCTTGTAAGGGCCGCTAAAGCTAAAAATAGAAATACCTTTAAATGTCTAACTAGTGGATAATCACCAAATTTTGTCTGTAGCATTCTTAGGTAGTTTTTTATCAAGTGTGTTGATATTGATTTGATTGGCCCATTGTAGGGGTCTCTAGGGCTAAAAATAGAAAAAAAACCATTTAGACCTATTGCGTTGCACTTGTTCGTCCGTCCGTCCATCCATCCGTCCGTCCGTACGTCTGTCAGCACTCACAGGATAGTAATTATGTGGCTAGAGGGACAATAGGTAACTGTTCTTTCTCTTTGATGTCATTCATTCCGTTATGCTTTTATGTGGCTCTTTTCTTTTGTGTGGTTAAAAAGAACAATAGAGAGAACAATAGAGTAGCCACATAATTACTCTCCTGTTAGAACTTCCGTCCGTACGTCTGTCCGTACGTCCCGAAATCTTGTGAACGCAACTTCTCTTAAACCGGATGGCACATTTTACTTCCAGGGATGAACAACCTTAATGTGTAGATAGTAGTAAAGGGCAACCAAATTTAACAGAATTATGGCCCTTTGTTGATTTGTTCACTATATACCATATAGAAATTTTGTGAACGCAATTCCTCTTTAACCGGATGGCAGATTTTGCTTAAACATCCAGGGATAAACAACCTTAATGTGTAGATGGTAGTAAAGGAAGGAATTTTCGCTGCGACCAAATTTAACAGAATTATGACCCTTTGTTGATTTTTTCACTATATACCATATAGAAATTTTGTGAACGCAACTCCTTTTAAACCGGATGGCAGATTTTGCTTAAACTTCCAGGGATGAACAACCTTAATGTGTAGATTGTAGTAAAGGAAGGAATTTTAGCTACGACCAAATTTAACAGAATTATGGCCCTTTGTTGTTTTTTTCACTCTATACTATTAAATTTTGTGAACGCAACTCCTCTTAAACAGGATGGCAGATATGCTTAAACTTCCAGGGATGAACAACCTGTAGATGGTAGTAAAGGAAGGAATTTTTGCTGTGACCAAAATTAACAGAATTATGGCCCTTTGTTGATTTTTTCATTATATAATTATATACTATGTTGAAATTTTGTGAACACAACTCTTCTTAAACCGGATGGCAGATTTTGCTTCAACTTCAAGGGATTAACAACGTTAATGTGTAGATGGTAGTAAAGGAAGGAATTTTTGCTGCGACCAAATTTAACAGAATAATGGCCCTTTTATGATTTTTACTTTTCAACTTGCGGCACATGTAGTCCAAAAAATATTTGACCTAGAGTCATAAGATTGACAGAACAGTGGCGTGTGGGGGCATCCGTGTCCTATGGACACATTTTTAGTTTAGTTTCTGATAGTGCCCATTAGGGTCCTAATACCTTAAACCTAATTCTGAATGAAAAGCGCGCTAAATAATACTACAGCGTGTCGTCATTTACGACGTCACGTCATTAAGTTTGTTACCAGTACTGTGCACGCTGGTATTTCACTGAAACAGTTTCAAACAGTGAAATTACCAGTTTTATACCATTGATATATTTCTATAAACCACCAAAAAGCATGTAATAAAGCATGTAATAAAGATATATTTTTCTCGTTTTACTGAAAAAAAACTACAACAAAATACACAAAGAAGCAAATATGTGAATATTTGAATGCTAACGAAAATAATTTATCAAGAATAAATGTAGATCTTAATATTTTTTTGCAGACAGTATTTTAAATGAAAACAAAACAAAATTCAGTATGTTTATTGTGCCGTCATAAATTCATGGCGTCATTAATTAGAGCACATGCTGTCACCAACAATAATCAGTCAATATATTACTTAATATATGAAATTAATAGGAACTTTATTTGCCAAAAAGGTCAAATTATGTTTATTTATAAAAATATCCATGCAGAAAGTGAAAATATCCATGAAAAAAAATGATTTAGCTTCATTGAGACATAATCTGAGACAGCCAAACCTTGTCTCAATATATGTGAGAAAAGGTCCCCAAATATAATGTTGAGATTTTTCTTAATTTCTTTTAGTGAAGCAAAACTGAGAAAAATTTCAATCTCAATTTCTGAGTTGAGAAAAATCTAAGATTTGAGCTGAGATTTTGACTTTGAGAACGTTAGTGAAAGCCGGGCCTGGTCTCAAGGGCAAAGGTCAAGGTCACACTTAAATTTGTTTTCGCCCCAGTTTCCAATAGAAACGTTCTTTAAAAGGCTTTTCCAGCGTGTGTAGAAACATTTTGAGAATAACAAATTTTGAAATCGTTGATAAAACTTTGTTTGTTTATTTTATTTCACTCTATAATTTTCAAGCGAATTCCAAAGTATTAATAGTGAAATAAATGTGAAATTAAACTCATTAATTTGCGACATTGAAATAGCGTTCTTGATTTGATTGTTTTTGTTAGTGCTGTTTGGCGCTACATTGTGACGTCATAAAAATAACGACTGAATTTAAGATATTCGTGTTTGGATTCTTTTTCTTAGTAAGACCATTTTCTTACAGTTTTCACAACTAAAAAATTGTTGTTTTTTTTATATATCAATGGCGCCGTCAATGTGTCGGTTTGAAAATACACAGGGAGGTAATAAGAACGGCGAGTGCATTGCTTCCTTCTTTGTTTATATAGAAAAAAAAATGCGATAGTGTTAGAACATAAAGTATCACTAAAATTCATTCTTATTGATTGTTTTTTTATGATCCCAAAGTGCGGTTGTTTCAAACTTGACACCAAAGTGTGTAACGAACGTTGGGGCTGGACCCCAAAGTACCTAACGCACTTTTGGGTCGGACCCCAAAGTGCATTTGATCCCAAAGTGCGTTGTTACACTGCTTTATTTGAACTTTGTGACTAGTCTTTGCTACATGCATTTTATCTTCCAAGCAAAAATTGATAGTTCTATTTCATTTATATCTAATGTTTTCATTCAGTAAAGAATAACTTTGTTGTTTTGTTCTACTTCCTGTATAAGAATTAGGAAATAGATATCAATTCTGAGTGCATTGTTGTAGAATACTGCACGGTTTGAGTTCAAATGCGTAGTTATATAATCACGAAGGCCGATAGGCCTGAGTGATTAATTACAAAGCATTTGAACGAAAAACGTGCATTATTACACAATAATGGCGAAAAATTAATATTTATTTCAATTCTAACACGTCAAGAATATAATTATTATTATAAAGTTGGACTTTATGTTTGGTGGTTAAATTTGTTTTCGCCTCAGAGTTTCCAATAGAAACGTTCTTTAAAGGCTGTTCCAGTGGGTTGAAAAAAAAACTGTCGTTAAATCTACCGTGTGTAGAAACATTTTTAGACTAACGAACTTGATGAAACTTTGTTTGTTTATTTTATTTCACTCTATAACTTTTTAAGCAAAATACAACTTGTGGAATAAATGTAAAACTTCACTCGTTTGCGACATTAAAATAGCGTACTTGATTTGATTGTTTTGCACGTGCTGTTTGGCGCTACATTGTGACGTCACGTAAACAACACTTTAAACGTCTGTGCAGCGACTGAATTAAAGATATTGGTGTTCGGATTCATTTTCTTAGTTAGACCATTTTCTTTCATTCTAGATAGTTTTCCCAACAAAATTCGACAAAAAATGTTTTTATTTATCAGATTTTTCAAACAAAATGGCGCCCTCAATGTGAAAATACACAGAGAGATAATAAGAACGGCGAGTGCATTGTTGTAGAATAATGCACGCTTCGGGCCCTCTTTGTTTATATAGAAAAAATGCCGATAGTGTTATAGAAAATACATGGTTGATGTCAGGATGGAGAAGGTTTATCCGGTGAGCGTGAAAGTGTATCTTGGCGAGCTTTAGCGAGCCAAGATTCACTTTTGCAGCGAACCGGAAAAACCTTCTCCAGCCCGATATTAACCATGTATTTGATTCATCCTGCTTTTAATAATGTTTTTAGAATAATTAAATGGTTTCATTCTTCTTTTTCTTCGATAAAATAGCATCTATATATTGTTTAGTTTTGCTGTTAAACATGTGACGTCATCATGTGACGTAATGACTGGAGATAGATAAGTTTATCCGGCAAGGCTTTATCCAGCTGATGATATTGATAGTAGCAGGATAAAGAATATTTTTTTTAACCAATTATTCTTAATCATTTGCCATTTCTCGTCCGAATAAGATTAAAATTTCCTTTTTAATTGAAACCTTGGTTAACAAATAAAGAAACGCGCGAGATATCGAACTGTTTTCTCTCTGTTTTCAGGACATATGCTTTGACTGAAGGAGAAAACGACAGACACACTGCCACAGTTAATAAACTGTTACAATTCACCTCTTTTATGTTAAACGTGGTAATATCTGATTTCCATATGTCTTATTTATCTCTTGGAAAATTACTTTTATCATTATTGCATCGTCTGTGGCAATTCTTCGACAATTCACCCGTGCCGATTTTGCGACTCCGTAAAAATGGTATTGCACGACTATGCATATATTTTGATGTGACGTCATTAGCGGTATACAAACATAGTGTAAAGAATTTTTTGGGTTAAGTGAAAAATAAAATATTAGATGCGTTCAAACTCATTGCTTAATTTATTGAACACGTTGAATAAAATGATATTATGCTCGCCAGAGGCTCGCATAAAAATATAATTTTATTCAACTCGTGCAATAAATTCAGTATTGAACTTATACACATTCAATATTCTCTATATATTTTACCGAGTAAGTACAAAAAGGAATATTTCACGAGTGGCACAGTGAACACTTTTTGTGCTCACGAAGTGAGATCAATTTTGATCTTTCACTAAAATAAACACATTTTCTTTATATTAATTGCAAAGAAACGTTTAAAGAAACATTTTAACCTTATACTAAATGAAGTTGTGCCAAATTATAATACAACGAGACGTCATTAAGTTGATTTCCAGAACTATACACGCTGGTATTTCACTGAACAACAGACATAAATCGAAAACAGAGAAAGTATCAAATTGCCTATTTATCATTGCCTAAATATCATTTTTATATTTCACTGATACATTTGTTTAAACCACTCCAAAACATGTAATTATTTGTTATCAAAATATTTTAATTAAGAAAATTCATTCATAGGTAGTCGGAATAACTTTAATCTCTGCCAATGACTATAATTCATTTTAAGGCAACATCTTTTTGCTCCTGTCTATTTTATGTTCAGATCAACTCCCACACTTGATGTTTATAGCTGCAGATGAGCCAAAAATGTCAAGAAAATTAAATATAATATGAAGGAAAATGTTCATAGATTTTAAGAAAAGTAAATCAATCAATATTAAAGTAATATTTTAAAGTAAAGTGCGGTTAATAACTGATCAAAATTATTTTTTCTGCGTGACTAACTCATTTAGGACAAATTGTGCATATTTTGACTTATTTTTGGTCATTTACGTGTACGGTTAGTGCCGTTTGCAATGAGTATATTTTCTTTGTTCACTTCATAATATTTTACTTTCAAAGATACTTTCAAAATAATCGTTAAAATTAGCATGCAGCATAGCGCTTTAAAGCTTTAGCAAGCCATCTCTGTTTCATTAATAACAAACGACATACATTAATTAATACACTTCTTATTATAGCTACATTGAATGGTATATTTGGTGTCTCTATATTGTCATGTTTTATATTCAGAGACGGAACCACCTTATTAAATTTAGCAAATTTCAATCATTTAAATGGCACATTAATCAAGTACCTTAACAGGGAATTTTAACATGTGCTATATTAAAGAAATAATATATTGCAAACAGTGATCTAATCGTTCAATAAAATCACTGTTTGGAGTTCGGATTCGAGGAATTATACTTCGAGGGCGAAGCCCGAGTGATATAATGATACGCATCCAAACGACAAACAATGACGTTATCAAACGATAAAGTCACCTATTTGAATATATTATTTCGATTCTAACACGACATCAACAAATAAATACTGCCGTACCTAATATAAAGCTAAATTGCGCTTGAATTGTTCCCGTACTTATTTTCAGTGCGTCGCATTTTTAGTGGTTAAGTCACATGCATAATGATAACGTCGCATGTCTAAATATAGAACGTCAACAGTGATTTTATTGCATATTCTAACATTCCTGATGATTTTGTCAGACTCACTAAAGACAAAGAAGAAAAAACCGGTGTTCTGCTAATAAACACTGGTTATGGGCTACTTGTATTTGAGCCTCTTATGTTTTCTCCCTCTATTATACAGATTACTTTACTAAGCCTTTTAAAGCAACAATAAAAAACATTGTAACTAATATTTCAGTTCTTATAATGTTTTCTTTTTCATACAATACTAAAATAATATCTCACGCATAAAGCCACAGATTTGATCCATATCAGTTAATAAATATTTTGACACACGTAAGCGGCGTAAGACGTCATCCTAAGTACACAACTCATTCATTGTTTGTTTTTATTATTTCTATATTTGAACAACAGAAGGATGCGAAATCGAACAGCGTTATACGGATATCAGCACCGGAAGTAATCTCCGCTTGAAAAAATAACATAAGTGATCTTCCTTAATTTCTCTTGTTAGAATCGAAATAATATCTGTCTGAGCGGTGTTTATCGGCTATTTAACAACGGTTTTGTCGTTTTGGTGCGAACAAATTAACCACTCAGGCCTACGGCTTTCATGGTCAATTCCTACGCATGATAAACACCGTTAAGACTCGCCCTGACCGATATTAATTCTTAAATAACACACACTTTTGGTTCGTCTATATTCAATAGGGAACAATGCGGGTCGTGTTAGAATTAACAGTATATTACATTTTTCAGGTGGATCTACGATATCGAAATATGAAAGACTACTCGTATACAATATCCTGTCTTTTTGCTGGAATTTACATAGCTGATGTAAGTGTTCATAGGGAACTAACCGATTAATTCTTCGTTTTTTTACATGGTTTAATAAATGTGTAGTGGAATGCAAAAATGGGGCTTCTTGACGTTGACGTCGTTATCGAGAAAATGCGAGATCTTTGACGCCATTTTTTTCCTCATTATTTTTCCGTTCATCTGGCAGTAAAACAGCGCTTAAGTATATAATAAATGACTTGTCAGCACATGGGGTCCTGATTCATACAGAGTAATCAACGGCAAAAATAATTTGCTACCGTTCATCCTATGACAGCAAGTAAAATTATCACGGTAAAAGATTTTTACGAGGACAACTGATTACGTCATCTGACATTGATTGTTGATAAAATATTGGTGAATTGATTCGATGTTTTTCGGTGTTTTAAAGAATATTTTACACTGACAACGTCTGCTTTGACAAAACTTATATAAAACTGGATTATTCGGGTTAGGTGAGTATTTATTTTTTCTAGTATTTTTGCTTTAATATGTATTTTATCGGAAAATAATTATACCCGGAAGTAAAACAATTGCAGTTCCTGGACAACGGTTTGTTGATAGCAACATGGAAAATGGCAGCCAAGTAATTATTTACTCAAAGCAATTAATACCAAAATTTATGTAATTAATCTCTTAGATAAAACAATCATCAAAGTGAGGAAATTCAAGATTTTCAAAAATTTTAATCTTTACTTTCTTCCATGCATACTATACAGTACATGTATATGAATAAAAATTTGAGCTGTTGAAAATTTGTATCCCAAAAGTGAAAATATATCTCTGGCTCCATTGTTTGAGCTGTTTAAATTTTTTCAGATCTTTAAAATTAAAAATATGGAGATGTTGCAGTTTCCATAATTTCTCATAACCAGACTCAATAAAATGGAGGGTATTGAATGAATGCATATGTCTATATTTTTTCATTGACACAACTAGACTATAGTGTAACGCTTACACTTAACATGTATTTACACTATATACTGGTTGGGGACCACCAAAACCGGACAACCACCAAACCCGGACGGCGCCGAAAATGCTTAATTCAGTATTTTCTTTGTTCAGTGGTTGTCAGTCACATTTTTTATCAACATTAAGTGCATGTTTCTTTTAGAATTAAGTAAATAAATTTATTTGAACCTCTGTAAATGGTTATATATTTTTATGTCTATTTCAAGAATGTTGACGTTGAAATTTGGGGGTCAAGAAAGCAATGCCTGACCTCATATATCAGCTATAATCATTTGCAGAGTGAATAATAGAATATCCAAAACTTCAGCATTTGTTGCTGACATATTATATATCATGTTACAAATAAAAAATCAAAACACCCATGCTTTTATTTGAATTAAATCACATCATGTACAGATCTGTCGATCCGGACACATGGTACAGTAGTGTAGACAATATAGGTAATTTTGATACCTTCCTTGTTGAGCCTCAAGTGTCAATACAATCAGAAATTGTATCATAGTTTGGGGACCTTTCTGTTGAAAATGTGTCAGAGTTAAATCGTATACATATACATGCACAGTGCGGTAACTGGGGTGCAGGTATCAGTTACCCGCACTCCAGATCATGCCCATTGATTGGTTCATTTTTGCTTGGGTTTACATATTGTGACGGCAGAGAAAGGGAAAGCGACAGAAATATCATATTTAGATGCTCGTTCATTGGTTCATTTTTGCCGGGGTTTCATATTGTGACAACAGGGAACGTGTTTTTATGTTCGACTATGATACAAAAGAGAAAGAACACCAAAACACTCGGCAATCTGATTAATACTCGGGGGCTACGCCCCCTCGTACAGATCAGATGTTTCAGCCTCGTGTTTCGGTGCTCTTTCTATTACTTAACAAACTAGTTTGTTAGTTAGGAGAACAACCTAGCTGAACTGTGTCAAATGTTTTGGTATCTAGGTTAAAAATTATTAAATCAGTACGGAAAAATGTTCAAAAAGTGTCCGGTTGATGGTCTCCGACCAGTATGTTTCTGTAAGGCATTTGATGTCACATCAAAATGTTTGTTCACACTTAGAAGCACATCAATGTATACCTAAGCCATAACTTGTTTGAAATGATTTAACTAATATTTTAATTAAAAAAAGTCACAGCCCTATGACAAGCTTTCTAGACAGGATACATATTAAAGGAATCATATCTGCAGGTGCCTTATTAGCAAAATTTGAGGACCTCAGGAAAATCTGACTGTTCTATAAATTGTTAAAACTGTATATCAATAAAACATAATCTATAAAGTTAACTACTGTACATTTCAGGCACTTCACCATGCACTTATGATGTAAAGTACTCCAACCCTTGGGATTATGCCAAACAAGTGCATTTTTCCCCATCATTCTCAACTAGTTGGTCCAATATGTTTTAGGACACCAAGAAAGTTCCATGTGTTTGGTGTTTGTGTAGAGGGATCAGGTTAGTTTGCCCATAACATTTTTTGACATATTTTTTCATGTGCATATTGTAAAAACATGTTTAAAAATATTATCAAGGTAGATTTCTATTTTTTTTTCTTGTCAGATGTGTTCCTTTGCCATGAATTTTATTATTTTTCTCCTATGCCATAGTACTTTCAGTTGCAAAAAGAATATTCAGTTAAATATAATCTTAATTTTAAGTATTATTTTCTTTAGTACTATTTATATCCTATGCAAACTTTTTAAACTTCCAATTTATATGTATTTTAGGACTTCATGGAAGTGTCAGTCTCAACATGCCTGGTACTTTTATATCTGGAAAGTGAAAAACAATGCAAAAAGTTGCCTAAATGTACTGTCCTGAAGTCATCAAGACATGCAATGGGCACAATATCCTACAGCTTATAGATGATCCAGAAAATCCCTAGGAAGTCACTTCTTAAGTGAAACCCCTCAAACTGTTATCAAAATACCACCATTTTTGTGCAAGTGCAATGGAGCCAAGTGTTATAACATGTAAAGAATATATTAACTTTGTGGAGGTAAAAATGTATTTACTGAAACAATTGCCTCCCAGAGGTCTTTTACCTGAAGTACAGTAATGATGCAGCAAGACATTAGTATCTATTTGAACAATTGGGCAGTTCTTCAAATCTGACATAGCTAAAATACTGTGTGGCCAAAACCAGTTATCCCAAAAACAGAAAAAAAGTTGGATATTGACAATTATTTGAAAAAGGTGGAAAAAGAAAGAGCAGCATTTTACTCTTGAGTATAATTGGATTTCCTATAACATAGTGGTCATGTATGGACTGTCATTATTTTCTTCATTTCAAATAAAGTTTATGATACAAGTAGATGCTTCATAAGATAAGACTGCAAGTGTGTTGCATAACTAGTGCTCTAAGGACTAATGCTATATTAACAAGTATGTGGATCATTGATGTATAGATATTAATTAATGGCTGCCTATATTATTTTTGGATGTCAGTATACCAGTTACTAATTTCCATCATTTATACAAAATGTTTATCAGATTAAGTTTAGTGTAATACAACATTTGTCATTTTACTCTAAGTTATAGAATTCTATTGAACCTATGCATGTTATGAATTGATCAACTGTCAACTGATCTTAAGCTTTGATCTAGGTTGAAAATGACTGTATGAAAATGTAAAGTATGTAACATTAAGCTTCAGTACTTGTTGTCAAATTTTAAACATTTTATAGTTGTAGAATATGAAAAATACTTTATCTATAACAATGGTAGGTCAGTTGAATTTTTATGTTGATATTAGTGTAGAATCACATTGTATTAATTATCACCAATCCTTAAAATTGTTAAAAGAAGCAGCAAAATCAAAGAATATTTAATGGTAGCTAGGCAACCAATATCCCCTTCAGTTGGGAAGGATTTTAAACAGGTGCATCATAATAAAAATACTTTATATGTTTGATCTCATTGTAACTCTATAATTGAAAAATAATCACCACTAAGTCATAAAATATCAAAATATAGAGCCTTAAATGTACCTGAAAATAAATGTTGTGAACATGATATTAGAAGTATCATTTTTAATTAATATTATTAAGGAATGGTGAGGCAGGCTGTTCTCTGAATACCTTATTAAGTTCAGTTACACATTATTTGTGGGATTGTTTTCATTTTTTTGTAATAGCACAAATTGCTTTTTTGTAACTAAGTTGTAATCTCCTGTATGCCTGTAAAAATTTGGAAATTTAGAAATTTATAAAAAAAAAATATTCATTGGTTGCTTAGCAACCTACCTGTACGAAAATGCCTACCCTGACTACACCCTGATTTGACATGGGATAAGACATTTATTCCCAGCCAGGTTTTTTAAGCTATTCAGTTGACTATAGAGAAGACAGAAATCTATTTTTAGATTTTTTAGTATACAATATATAGTGTTTTCAGGGTGGTTTCAACGAAATATTTAAATGAGCCAGAAAAAATACCACCCTGAAATGGAAATCCAGGGCAGAATTTTCACTGACACAGATTTCTAAAAATAGATTTACTTCTAGTTAAATTGACAGCAATTTCAGGGTGGGATAAATTTGAAATATTTAAATGAGCCATAATTCACCCTGATTTCTGTTTAAAAAGTCAGGCCAGACTTTTTTCCTCCTGCTATTATCCCGCCCTAAAATTTTGCAGATCCCACCCTGAAATTAAAAAAAAATCCACCCAGATTCCTGTTCTTCTTAGAACCAGTCCAAGAAAATATTCTTAAATAAATTTCATCATATTCTGAGCATTATGTAAAATAGAATAATAGGTGATCACAAGTAGCTCATAAGAAACAAACAAATTAATTTGATGAAAATAGCGCTGAATTGATCATCTTCACAATTCAGTGGTGGCTATTTCCTTATAAATTTTCATCCATGATATTTGACAAAATAATAATTAATTCAGAATTTTGTTTCACTTATCTGTATTTGATTTTTATATAATATACATTTTAAAAGTCATTCTTGTTTGATAATTCCACTTGATTACTGTCAGCTGTATTACATAATTCCACTAGTATCTGGACTGCACAATCTGTAAACATATGAAAGCAGTGTAGGAATATGCTATAGACAACTTTCAATTTATATATTAATCTAAAAGAAAATGTTACACCTTAATATAGAGAAATGTGTCCATACAGTGTAGTTTTAAAGATATATACATGTATTGCATTAATTGCAATCAAAAAATCAAAAGAACAAATGATTGATGAAATTATTTTAAAGAAGTTACAGCATTATAGACATATATGTACTGACTTTAGTAAGTGATTAATTCTATAAAATATGCAGGGATGAATACTTTTGATAATTAAAATTGAAAGTAATTTTGATAGAAAATGAAGAAAATAAAAGTTACCAGTAATATTTCTTCTATTGTATTCTTTTGTTCCAACTACACCATTTTCTTCTTTTCATTCTCTTGTCACATGTTACTGAAATATTTGGCTTCAACCTAAATTTTGAAAGAAGAAAAAAAAACAAATATGCAATCATGTTATTTTATTATAATTTTTATTTCATTTTAAGACTTAAGAGTTTTTTTTTCTAAAATGGAATGATCAAAATGTATAGCATGGTTCGCACGGGCCTTGAAAAGTCCTTGAATTTGGTTTCAACCTTGAAAAGTCCTTGAATTCAGGGTTGCCTTGAAAAAACACTAAAATTGTCCTTGAATTTCAGTAAACCCCCTTGAATTTCGGTAAAATGCCTTGAAAATCCAAAAGGGTTTAAAACCTGTCGCTGTAAAAGTCAGGCAAATTTTCCGCTACAAATCGGACATGTGAACGAAGGCAGCCCGATCGAGTGCGCCCATTTGGATCTGTTTTAGTAGTGTTTAGCCAGCGTTACGGTTTTGGCACGGATTTTAACAAGCACTTGTGTATGACGTCATCGCAAATTGTGTACAAAATGTCAGCTTCCATTGCGAAGTAAAAAATGGGAAAATACACTAAGAAATGTACGTTTCAGCTCAAATGGCTTCAACAATACAGTTGGGTAAAACAAGTTATACAAGACCCACGAAAAGCACAATGTACCATGTGTATGAAAACCATCGCAAATGGGAGAGAGTGCATTAACATCGCATGCACCTCAAAAATCTAGACATCAAGTCGTCATTGACGAAGTGTGGCCTTGCATTTGTCAGACAGGAAGGAACTATAAATGTCAAAACTGAAAATTGCAGTAGATCTGATTCAAATAATATCATTGTGCCATCCCAATCCACAACGGAAACTGTGCATGACATGACAATACCACCCCCACCCACTTCTAGTAATCAAGAAAATGTCCCCTGTGTGTCCAGTAATCAAGCAGGAATATCTCCGTTCATTTCAAAGATCTCAAGAAAAAGAAGGCAAGACTTCAAATTGATATCACCATTCTAGAAGAAAAATCTGAAAAACTGTTGGAAAAGGCTGAGAAAACTGGAAAAATAACATTTGTGACTGAATCAAACATTCTAAGAAGGAAGGGCTTCAAAGAAAAGAAACTGGAAGTTGAGGAAATTGGAAGAGAAATCCAAAAAAGAAAGGAAAAACTAGATAGAGTTGTGTGAATTTACTCAATCACCTATATGTTACAGTTTTGGTGTTCATATATTCTACTGACTGTGCTGATTTTCTAAATATAGTCACTGTTTTGCAATTCTAGTCATTTGAACCTTAAATTGAAATACGCATGTTTTATTTACATGTTTTATATCACAGATATGGTTGTAAAAGTATAATTTTAAATAAGATCAATCCGGAAAAAAATGCCTTGAAAATGACAATTTTACCTTGAAAAGTCCTTGAAAAGTCCTTGAATTTTGATTTGAGAATTTGGTATGAACCATGTATAGTTTATTTAGAAAAATTAAGAATGATTTCTATTTTCCCTCCATATTTTAAATCAGGTTTCCTGGAAATTTATTTAAGGTCTTTTCAGAATACTTGGCTTACAAAATTCATTATTTTATGAAAAATTAAAAATATTAAGAACTGTAATTAAATTATAACTTACCATTTATCTGTCACAAGTGGCTGCTAATTTCCCTCCATTTTTTTCAAAATGAATAACGAGGTTTAACACAATCTATTATGCTCCATGTTATATATATTTTAAAGTTTCACAATAAATTTTCCAAGAAAGTTCTGTATAGCTTGGGTAGCTGAATTCTTAAATCTCATTATCTATATAATTATCAAAACTCATTTATATATTAATATATATAAGTGTAAGTTGATTTATTTGAAACAAAATCACAACTTAAGCCTCCAATCTTTCAAAAGAAAATGACCATGCTGGAAATAATTTTCAGGGTGTGATATTTGCTCTGGATTTTAAACTGCTGTCGGTCAATCTGTGGTAACTTCTGTGTTTTCATCTGCCAGATAGCCCAGTTTAACATATAGTATTTTGAAATACTGTACAAAGTTCCACTTGAAGGTTATTTGTTTATATAAACTGAAAGCTGACCTTAGACATGTGAGATTCTGTGCAGATTGTGAGATGGTGGATAAAAACTAAAAATCTTGAACATTACTTATTGCTGACCAAATTATGCATGAAATAAAAAAACTGTTTGCCATAAGTTAAATATTGATACAATCAATTACTGATAACAATTATCAATTTCATAGATAAAAATAAATCATGTTGATCTAAATAATCTCAAATTAATCTACATATTGATTTTAAAAAAATCAGTAGATCTAACTGAAAAGATTTTTTGTTAAATGGAGTTTACCATAAATCAAGTGATACTTTCTAGAAATAGACATTATAAAATATTTTTCTTCTGACTTTAAAATTTAATTTTGTCTGAACAGCAATGTAAAATGTATAATTAGTGTATTGCAATTTTCATTTCTAATAACTCTAAGTCAGAAAAATCAGGCTGGAAATGAAGAACTTTAAAGACTGTATTGAAACTGGTTCTTGAAAATTTTCTAACTTTGAAATATCTGGGTAGATTTTGCTTATATTTCTCAGTCAGTAAAATCTGTGCCAAAATATTTTCAAAGTGCAAATATTCCTGCCTCCACCCTGACTTTTACCAAAATGAAGACGGTGTCGGGGTAGAAAATACTTGAATTCCCATGTGAGATTTATTGAAAATTCAGGGTCCATGTCTATTTCACCCTGATTTTGCCAATTCTGGTTCAAAACAGGCCTGAATCGGTCCTGTTTTTCATAAAAGCCATGCTGATTTTTCGTACAGGCAATTATATACAGAGACAGTTTTAAGTAAGGAACATTTTTGTAGGAATTATCTTTATGTCATTTTAATTAAATATAATGCTAGTCAATTCAAAGTCCTTACTTTGTTGTGAAACAGTGTAATTAACTCCAGATGTGACTGAACATACTTTTATGAAATTATGTATATTATCTATATAAATTCAAAACTTATAGTAAAGTGAGTTTAAGGATACATTGATCCAAGAACTATTATTAAGATTGTATCATAGTTTGGAGACCTTTCTGTTGAAAATGTGTCAGGGTTAAATCGTATACATATACATGCACAGTGCGTTAACTGGAGTGCGGGTATTAGTTACCCGCACTCCAGATCATGCCCATTGATTGGTTCATTTTTGCTGGGGTTTACATATTGTGACGGCAGTGAAAGTGAAATCGACAGAAATGTTATATTTAGATGCTCGTTCATTGGTTCCTTTTTTCCCGGGGTTTCAATTTGTAACAACAGGGAACGTGTGTTTTTGTTTGACTATGATACAAAAGAGAAAGAACACCAAAACACTCGGTAATCTGATTAATACTCGGGGGCTACGCCCCCTCGTACAAATCAGATAACCTCGTGTTTCGGTGCTCTTTCTATTACTTGTATTTGCAGTTTTAATAGTTGTAATTTGTTTTTTGTAATCATGCTGCTTTGTTCATGGTATTTTGAGATATTTTTTAATCAAACTTAAAATTTGTAAAATTTAGAAGGAAATTATGGAAGATATTGTGGTTGCTTGGCAACACTGATTAATTTTTATTTATTGCTTAGGTATTATGTAAATCAGTTATACAGCAGATAGATATATTTATGTAATATGGAAAGTAACAGTGATTTGATCAAATGCTTATTGGTTATTGTAAAACATACAGAGCAATATACATGGCAAAATACTGAGTTTCTGCTAACATTTGCATGACTTACTAACACTAGTCAAGTGTACAGAACATGGATTGTATGTTATATCTTCAATGGAAAATTATTGAAAAGTAATTAATAGGCATTGTTTATAATTTTATTGAAAATCTATTTATTTATGCTGCTTTTTTAGCTGTATTTTACCAAGAAATTTGTATATTTACAAAATAAATTACAAAAATTTAGGATATTCCATGGTTGCTAGGTAACAGAATATAGCTTCCTTCATCTTGTATTTGTGTAATGGTGCCCTTTATTTAGTGTTACTACCTTTGATGATGTTATACTTGAGTCATCTTTCATTTACTGTTGTATTAAACTGTTGTTTGCTGTCAGAGTAAATATATGAATAAAGTTAATAAATGAATGATAAATGGACACTGTGTTTAGTTCTTTTGAAGTATTATGATATCTCTCAACAGTAATATGTCCTGTTAACACTGTAGAAATGCAATAGAACCATTTGTAAATGTGAAAGAAGAATATATTTCGTATTGATACTTGCAAGTGTTATAAAATAAACCTAGCACATAACTTTTTACATGAAAAAGGCCAGGAAGAACCCAGGAATAGGTCCGTTGCTAGGCAACATAATGTAAATGATGCTTTAATTATGGTGGCTGTATTCCAAAAATATTCCACATCATTTATTAACTTTAATAACATAAAACAATTTTTTCACAAAATTCATTTTAGCTTCAAAAGTTTTTTTCCTCATGCACCTTTAAACATCACAAAGATCAAAGATTTTTATGTGTATTTTCAATTACTTACTGGACACCATACACACAAAATTATGTATATCTTTGTAAATAAGAAAGACACGACCTTCAAATTTTCAGGAATTACTTCTGATATTTCATAGATTCAGAAAATTAAAAAAAGTGAAAATCAAAAATTTGGTCAAGAAACCCCATTTTTGCATTCCATGACACAAATGACGACAATCTACAAATTGAAGCAGCCCTTACAAAAAAGGAACTAGTAAGACTTGTACGATATGATATTTAATTGCCTAAGTTACCAATAATCTTTATTGTTCTCTACTTAGATGAAATTAACCATAAAATCCTAAGCCAACACAAATTTTCAAATTAATATATTTTCAGACGCATTTGCAATTCATCCCTTTTGTGCGGCAGCGTGGCCGAGTGGTTAACGCGCCGGACTAGTCTTAGAATTTGCTGACCGTTTTGGTTCTAACCCTGTCAGGGGCAAGCCGTTGTTTCCTTGAGCAAGAAATTTTACATTCATTGCTTAGTAATGGTTGGTTCAAGGAACGGATTCGAGAGTGTTACTTTAAGCTTATGGCTTCCAACACAATCAAACTAAAATAAATTTGTATAAACTTAATCATCCCTTTTGTGACATATTAAAAAAAGGATGTTTCAAATGTTATTACATATACACATTCATGTAAAATAACCCTGCCCTGTCTGATATTTGTTGTGTAACGATAACCTGGATTAAATTTAATGTATAAGTTACCGGTAGGAAGTTAGCAGTGGCAGTGAGCAGTAGCAGTAGCAAATTTATAAAACGTGAAATTGGCAGAAGCAGAGCAGTAGCAGTAGCGCAGCAGTAGCAGTAGCACAACAGTTGCATTAGCAAAGTTATAAAACGTTAAGTTAGCAGTAGCAGTAGCACAGCAGTAGCAAAATTATAAAAACGTGAAATTGGCAGTAGCACAGCAGTAGCAGTAGCACAGCAGTAGGAGTAGCACAATTATAAAGCGTGAAGTTGGCAGTAGCAGTAGCAAAATTATAAAACGTGACATTGGCAGTAGCAGATACACAGAAGTAGCAGTAGCGCAACAGAAGCAGTAGCAATGTTATAAAACGTGAAGTTGGCAGTAGCAGTGGCACTGCAGTAGCAATAGCAACATTATAAAACATGAAGTGTGTCCGAGAATCGGTCGCAGACAAAAGAAATGCAACGTGTGCCTAGAAGTCAAAAATGTCATAAACGCCATTGGCTATACAAAATTACTGAAAGTCTGCGAGTGTCACCTAATCTGGCAGGTCCTTAGAAGGCTGAATAGTCATTATCTGCATTGGTACCAAAATTCCTTAAAGTCTGCGAGTATAAAACATTTAAGTCGCAGGCCAATGAAAAAGACACTTTAAGGTCCCTAGAAGTAAAAAATTCATTATTTCTATTGGCACCAAAATACCTGAACGTCTTCAAGTGCCTCAGACGTGCCTAGAAGTCGAACATGTCAATAAAACATTGGCAACAATAAACCCTGGAACTCTGCGAGTGTTCCAGAATAAGTCTGCTACTGCTGTGCTACTACACATGCCAACTTAACGTTTTTAGCTCACCTGTCACAAAGCTTTTGTGTGAGCTTTTCGTCCGGCGTCCGTACGTCGTCCGTCCGTCGACCGTCCGTAAACTTTTACTTTAAATGACATCTCCTCATAAACCGCTGAGCCAATTTCATCCAAACTTCACAGGAATGTTCCTTTGATGGTCACCTTTAAAAATTGTTCAAAGAATTTAATTCCATGCAGAACTCTGGTTGCCATGGCAACCGATAGAAAAAACTTAAAATATCTTCTTTTAAAGAACTCAAAGAGCTAGAGCTAAGATATTTAGCATGAAACATCTTCTAATAAGTGTCTATCAAGTTTGTTCAAATAAAAGCCCTGGGGTCAAAATTGGCCCCGCCCCAGGGGGTCATTGATTTTCCCTATATGCATATAGTAATAACTTATAAAATCTTCTTTTAAAGAACCCAAAGAGCTAGAGCTTAGATAATTAGCATGAAACATCTTCTAATAGGTGTCTATCAAGTTTGTTCAAATAAGAGCCCTGGGGTTAAAATTGGCCCCGCCCCAGGGGGTCATTGATTTTCCCTATATGCATATAGTAAAAACTTATAAAATCTTCTTTTAAAGAACCCAAAGAGCTAGAGCTAAGATATTTAGAATGAACCATGTTCTAATGGGTGTCTACCAAATTTGTTCAAATAAGAGCCCTGGGGTCAAAATTGGCCCTGCCCCGGGGGTCATTGATTTTCAATATATGTGTTAAGCAAAAACTTTTAATTAAAAATTCTTTGAAAAAAAAACAACAAATAGATAGAGTTTAGATACGAAGCCTGAAATATCTTCTAGTTAGTGTCTACAAAGTTTTTTTCAAATAAAAGCCCTTGGGTCAAAATTGGCCCTGCCCCGGGGGTCATTAATTTTATTTATGTGTATAGCAAAAATCTTCTTTGAAAAAACCCAAATAGCTAGAGTTAAGATATTTAGCATGAAACATCTTCCAGTGAGTGTCTTCAAAGTTTTTTCGAATAAAGCCCTAGGGTCAAAATTAGCCCTGCCCTGGGGGTCGCATTGCTTTTAACTATATGTGTATAGTTAAAACTTGAAAAATCTTTTCTTTAATAAAAAAAACTCAACGAGCTGGTCCTTAGATGTTTAGCGTGAAATATCTTCTAATGGGTGTCTATCAAGTTTGTTCAAATAAAAGCCCTTAAGTTTAAACTGGCCCCGCCCTGGGGGGCCTATTGATTTTAACTATATGTGTATAGTTAAAACTTAAAAATTAAAAAAAAAAAAAAAAACTCAACGAGCTAGTCCTTAGATGTGTATAGCAAAAATTTAAAAATCTTCTTAAAAAAAAAAACAGAATAGATAGAGTTTAGATATCAAGCATGAAACATCTTCCAGTGAGTGTCTCCAAAGTTTGTTCAAATAAAAGCCCTGGGGTCAAAACTGGCCCCGCCCTAGGGGTGTCATTGCTTTTAACTATATGTGTATAGTTAAAACTTGAAAAATCTTTTTTTTTAAAAAAAACTCAACGAGCTAGTCCTTAGATGTTTAGCGTGAAATATCTTCTAATGGGTGTCTACATAGTTTGTTCAAATAAAAGCCCTTAAGTTTAAACTGGCCCTGCCCTGGGGGGCCTATATACAGGTGAGCGACTTCAGGGCCATCATGGCCCTCTTGTATAATTTTGCTACTGCTGTGCCACTGTTACTGCCAACTTCACGTTTTATAATTTTGTTACTGCTACTGCTGTGCCACTGTTACTGCCAACCTAACGTTTTATAATTTTGCTCCTGCTACTGCTTTGCTACTGCTACTGCCAACTTCACGTTTTATAATTTTGCTACTGCTGTGCCACTGCTACTGCCAACTTCACGTTTTATAATTTTGCTAATGATGTGCTGCTGCTACTGCCAACTTTACGTTTTATAATTTTGCTACTGCTGTGCTTCTGCTACTGCCAACTTCACGTTTTATAATTTTGCTACTACTACTGCTGTGCCACTGCTACTGTCAACTTCACGTTTTATGGTTTTGCTACTGCTGTGCTACCGCTACTGCCAGTTTCACGTTTTAAAATTTTGCTACTGCTGTACTACTGCTACTGCTAACTTCACGTTTCCTACTGCTGCTACTTCTACTGCATACTTCCTATCTGGAATTGTAATGCATATTCCCGCACAACCTGTGTCTGAGATATAATATATCTGCAAGTATCAAGCGATGCTCTTTCTGTAAAAAGTCATTTCTCATACTTTAATAGTATGCATATTCCTACGAACCATGTGTCATATGTATCATATATCCGCAGGTATCAAGCGATGTGCCTTTTATAGCAAATTATGTATTATATTGTAATACATATTCCCGGGAATCATGTGTCACATGCATCATTAGCAGCAGGTATCACGCGATGCACCATTTGTAGAAAATCATGTCTTATATTGTTATGAATATTACCACACAACATGTGTTATATGTATCATGTATTTGGGGGTATAAAGCGAAACCTTATATATTTTTAGAAAATCGTGTCTTTTGTTGTAATGACTATTACCACACATCATATATCTAATGTGTCTTGTATCTGCGTGTATCAAACGAAACACTATTTGCAGAAAATGATGTCTCATAATGTAATTGATAATCCGACGCATCATGCGTTAAATGTATCATATATCCGCAGGATCCAAGCGATTCGAAGTTTGTAGACGATCATATCATCAACAATGCCGGACAAGCAGATGGTGACTTAATATTAGATGATTTCATTAAATGGGGAGAGGCTTCAATACGTCATTTTAATTATGACCAAGCTACATTGCTTACAGGGTAAGGGAATGTTTCTTCTTTTTTCCTCTAACTTATATATAAGAAATAATATATCCCAAACAGTGAATTTATCGCTCAATAACATCACTGTTTGAAGTTCGGATGCAATGAATTATATCACGAGGGCGTAGCAAATATAATGCTGCCGTACGTGATATTTAAAGCTAAATTGCACCTAAGTTGCGTTTCACTAACGCACTTTCGTTATCAGAAATCAAGTTTGAACGTAACTGTTTGCGTAAGTAGAACATACGTTATATTTTTGTTTCACTAAACTTTCTTAGCCATATATATATACGCTTTTATGTAGGTGTAAACGTAAAGTAACGCTCACTTACTGCTGGCGTAAGTTGCACGTTCTGTTTAGTGAAACGCAACTAACGTAAATTTACGTTTTGCGTAAGTCCAAATTTACGTTAAAATATACGTTAAACTAACGTAATGTCAGTGAAACGCTCGTCCGTACATATTATCAACAGTGATTTTATTGCGTAATAACACACACTTTCGGTTCTTTTATGTTCAATGGGGAAAAATTCTCAATATTTCATATATTTCTATAAGTATATAATAAAAATACTATTTTTTAAATCTACCTCAATTTTCATTCAAAATTTTGATGGTAAAATTAAAAAAAAACAAAATGATAAAAATAAAAAAACAAAACAAAAATAAAACGCAACAATTACTGATAGAAGGAGCCTTGTTGAAGAAGTTTGTAGGTAACGTATAAGTTAAATAGATTTATATGGGCTTGCTTTGAATTCACGTATGACTTGTACATGCTCACTCAGTATCTTGTAGTATTTTTGAATATTTTTTCAAACATTTTGAACGAATCTTTTCGAATTCAATGTTAAATGTCGAATTATACTTAATATTGGTGCAAGTAATGTACTCGGTTGCTTGCACTTTATAGTACCGCCCCATGAATAAGCTCAATAAAACCTCGCTTGCAAGATTTTCAATTTTGTCGTTTAAGACGTTCTTTATGGATTCTGTTTCTATTACTTCATCAATAACGCAAAGATTAATCCTAACATATGTCAATTAAGCGACATTATTTACAATAATATTTGTTTATCAAATAATTCATTACTGTTAAATAAATATTATCAAATGCAAATGAAGGTCTATGTGTTATACTGTAAACCATTGAATGACAAATTTGGTTTTCAGGAGAAAAATATCATCATGTGGTCACAATTTCAGATTGAAATTAAATATGATAATATATATTTACTAGAAGCGGTTTTTGTTAGTAAGTACACCACCGAAAGTTACATTTATGGACTTACAAACAATTTAAATGCACCGTTTTCCTAAATTTCGATTATTTCAAGTAAAAAATCACCATATAATTAGAATGTGTGTTGTCTGAAACAAATGTGGTCATGTTTGTGCTGGTTAACCCTAATTCGATATGAAGCGAACAAGTTCTTGTTCATAGTCTACTAATTTTTATTGATATTTTGTTTTCTTTATATTTATATTTAGGCGCGATATCGGATATAAAGAAGATGGTATATTTCATAAAGGTCTATTAGGTATACACACTAATACATAGTAAAATATTGATTTGTTTCAATTAAATCTAATCATTTTTGTGTTTCTCAACACAACTGTGAGACTGTTATATAACTATACTTCAAAATAATCAAGTCCTATTTACATTAATATAAGCAAATGAAGAAACAGAGTATTTCAGTATTAAATGTTCGGAACTGGTAACACCGGTGCTTGGAGTCTGGGGGTAGCATGCATTTACTATTTCTGTTCGTGAGCAGGCTTACTAATTGTGAATCCGAGCCTGCAACATTTTTTTTCAAATTGGGCATGTTGAGTGTTCTTTAAGGTTTTTAAGTTTTCTATTCATAAATAAATATATCTGCTTATTCTTTTTGAATGAAATTTCTTATAAAAAGTTATGATTCGTATTTTAAGGTTATGCGTATTTGAACTCAGCTTGTGGACCATATGGATATTCTATCAATGAAATGACAGAATTCAGACCGTCGATGGGAATGGTTGTCGCACATGAGCTTGGACATAAGTAAGTTAATTACACTGTTACTTGTTGTTGTTTTTTTTCTGTTAGTAGTTTGTAGAAAGTGATAAGTTAAAGGATTTCGTCGGAGTCAAGTGATACAGTGTCTTTAAGAACCGCACTGAATGTAACTCAGCTTTTTCTTGCATATCAGACTGGATTATCTACTGTTTAAACCGGTGCTAGAAAATCCTGTCTTTCACCCATTGTAAGGTAAGTCACGAGCTTTAAATGACGGTATATCCGCGTGCTTTGTTGAATTATTTGCGAAGTTGTAAGTTCATACGCTACTATAAGAAAAAGGGACGTAATGAGAATATCAGTTTTTTTAATTTCTGTTCTGAAAGTATTTGATATGTAATATGCAAGAAAAAGAATCAAACACCGGCTGTCGGTACAGACGGGATTATCTAGCTCTCGGGTAACTGTTTAACAGAAACTCGGCCGAGCCTCGTTGCCGCCTTAAACAGTCACCCTCGTGCTAGATATTCCTGTCTGTTCTTGTAGCCGGAGTAAGATTTATATAATCTGGTCGTTTTCCAATTGTTCATTACTCGAAAATTTCAAAAAATGATAACTATGAAACTGAGAGGTCAATATTAGCCAGCCAGTTTATTGAGTGCCGCTTCCCCTTTGTTTGTTATGATATCAAGATCAGATAACTCTTTACATGTTTAGTTGTACAGTTAATGGTTGCTTCCCTTTACTTGATATCCATTAATGCTATGATCATACCTCTCTGATACGTAGGCATTCTCACTTAAGCTCTGGTCTTAACAACATTTATTAAATGGTTATAATAAATAGTAGAATCGTTTGAATCTTGTTATCATCCATGCAACATAACATTGTTGAACTTCATAGAGTGGTCAGCTACATACTTTATTTCATTGTTTAATATTTTTCTCATTAATCGTTTTGTTTCGGTTTAAGTCTCGGATTTGAACATGATGGTTATACAAATAGCTGTCCAGATGGATATGTCATGTCAACCTACTATCGCGTAAGCAAGGATTCATCCACGAACAAAAAACTCTGGCAGTTTTCGTCTTGTTCACAGACATATTTTGACTCTTTTATCACCACTTTGACTGATGCGTAAGTTTAAAGTTAAATTATTGGTGAATATGATTAATTACGTTTATTTCATGCTTTCAAGTGTTTTACTGTAATAAATCAGATGAATATATTCTGATAAAGCACTAGTGAAATTATAAGATATATTTTCAATGTAGCCGGACTATATCTGAATGCGGATGAAAAGAATATTATAACTTATTGGAATAAAAGGTTAAAATAAATGTCGCCATACACAAATTTTGGAAAAGAAAGTGGATGTCATCATACATCATGTTAAAAATGTAACAAAATAAGAGAAAGTTTAACAGAACTCTATTTCAAAATTGATGATGTGACGTCATGATGTGATGACGTCATAAAGCAGAATACACGACGTTACGCGGCAAAATCAGTAAAACAATATCTAAAAGCACTTAAAAAGCATAAATAAAAAGAAAATTAATTTGTTTTACATATAATAAGAGGATGTGTTTTCGTTTGAGTGAAATATGGAATATATTTTCACGAAACATGATAAAATGCCACATATTTTCACGAGCCGGGACGGCATTTTATCATGTTGAGTGAATATATATACCATATTTCACGAAAAACTAAACAATAACCTTTTATTTAATTTCATTATAAAAGAAAAAAATACGACCCCCTTGCTTGCATCGCAACTGCAATTGTACAGCGCACAGAAATATATTACTTATAGATGCCTCTTGATTTGCACGCGATATTTGGCGCTACATTGTGACGTCACATTAACAACTCTTTAAACGTCTGTACAGCATTAAAGCAGCTGACCTCCAGAAGATTGCAGAAAAACTGCCGTCTTGCTAATATTTCAAAATCCTCCTTCAAAAACATTATATAGTTGAAAGAAATCGAAATGACACTTCAGAATGTTCATATTTTAACATTATTGCTTTGAAAACAAACAGTTTGCTTTTTCACCAACGGGAAATACCTTCTTTTATTATACCACGGAATTCTTTCATCCGGGTTTTTTCTAGGATCACGTGGACAATATCGCAACCTGTGTTCCGGAACACAAGGAATCCGGGATTTTATCAAACATATAGGGATACGAATAACTGCTTTTATATTTGCAGTTATTCATGGCACTATAAATATAATTGATTAATTAGATCCCGGGCAGACCGGATACCGGGATTTTTCCGGACCACTGTTGTGACTGACTGCGTAAAATGAATTATCTTTTCCTATTTATATTGAGTGAAACTAAAAAAAGATTGGAGCACCACACTAAATACCGTATTCCGGTACATACCGGGTAGGCGCTTGAATCATAAAATGCTAAAATCTTGCCTTTTACCCAACGGAATGAACTGAAATAGGTCACATTCATCTTTTCACACCGATTTATGTATGATAATGAATGAAAAATGTAAAAATCGGCGAAAAAAAAAAAACGATATTTGTTTATTTTGTGATCATGATTTCTGCAAGCGTCTAGAGGTACTTCTCCAATCCTGTATTGAGTTAAATCCATTTATATTGGCTACTGCGTTTTGTGTTTGAACATTTTCCCGTGAAAATTGCTGATCGACGTAGATCCCATCTTCCAAAATTAAATCAGGCCTTACGTGACGGCAAACGTGCTTGTCTTAGTTACGACACGTTATACATAAACGGCCACCCAGTGCGTGATGGAAACCAATAGTACTGTTCGAAGGCTGAAACTTGCACGGTTTAAGTTAACCAAAACTAAACTTGAATAAGCTGCTTGTGTGAACATGACAATTTTTCCTATATGAAATCTGGGCTGATAGCTCTTCCAAATTTGACATTGATGGATATACTTCGTTAATATCAGAACAGGCGGACCAGACGATGCAGCGGGGTATTACACTCTATATTAGAAATACAATAAAATAAATGGCGTGTCGATCGTTAGAAATCATTTTGACAGTATTATATGGCTCAAATTGGATTATTCGTTAATTCAGCTGGAAAGTGACATTTTTGTTTCTGGTATTTATATATGGCCAGAAAATTCGCCCATGTATAATTTATCAGATGACGACTTTTTCACATTATTGCAAACTGATATTAATGATTTTCACTCACAGGACAAAGCGTTTATGATTGGTGACTGGAACTCACGCACGGGCGCTCGTGCAGATAATATTGTATGTGATCGTAACATTGAATTCATTGACGATGACAACTATTTACCTGATATTCCCTTGTCACGTGACTCAGTTGATACCGTTTGTAATAAGTTTGGTTTAAAATTAATTGAGCTATGTAAATATACGTACTTGCGGATTGCTAACGGTCGATTATATAATAGTAATGATTTTACATTTACTTGTCATACAGGTTCAAGTGTTATTGTATGATAGTGACATGTATTGTGTAAACGAGTTTAAAGGCCACCCTTTTTGTGAATGGTCAGATCATGCCAAGTTATCATTTAACATTTTATATATAAGAGCAATATATTTAATTGACGATATGCACATTAAGAGAACCCATGTTAAGTGGAACCCTGATTTAACGGAAAGTTTCCGTAGAGGTATTACAGGAAAACTGCCGAACTTTAATCGGGTTGTCAATAATATTCAAGTGAAGTCAAATATTTTATTGGCGAAAACAAATACATGTTCATCGCCAAGTTACCGTGGCGGTTATATCATATTTACATAACATAAGAAAAGTATGGTAAACAGTTAACATAACTACAACAAAATATGAAAATGTCAATATGAGTCACAGAAGAAAATAAAGAATATATTAATATAGAAACACATACCTACATTCATAAAATTAAATGTTTGATGTTCTCTTATACATAGCACAATAGATAAACTTAGCTAAATTAACAATTATTTTCTTTTGCGAAAGTTGCATAATTGATATAAATTTATTAATGGTTGGCCAATGACAATAATACCGAGGAAAACATTGACCTCTCAATTCACTATTGAATGGACAAACTTATAAGAAATGATATTCGTTTTCTATTTGATTCATATTGCATTTAGTGCAAATACGTAAATTCCTATCAATATTTCTATATCTTCCTACTTCTATTAACAATTTATGGGATGAACATCTAAACCTTGATAATGTTTTACGATGATTAATGTTATTTACAACATTTAAGTACTTTTCTTGGTTAAAGTTAAATTTAAATTAATTGTAACTACATAATTTAGGAAGCCTACTATGCTCAGAATACCATTGTTGTAATTGCTGATCATAAATTCTTTGTATAATATTATTTAATTGGATGCTTGTAACATTAATATTGTTCCATAAATTTTCCAAAACCTGAATCAGACATCATTTTCATAACGTTTTTGTCCTTGAATTAGTCACATTACCATTTGAATCTTTTATAAACATTATTTTAAAAAGTGTGTCAGGGGCTTTCATAATTCAATACCAACATTTGATTTTGAATCGAATTTTGCGATATACTGTCAAAAGAAATCTGC